GTTCATATTTTGGACTGTTCTTATTTGGCACCGTTTATTATTTAAGACTATATTATAATGAATATGAAACATGACAGCAGTTAAAATACATACTTTTATGAAACTGTGCTGTAAGGACCATAAGATCAGGTAGAGCCTAAGCACATGTATCCAGACATTAAAGCCAGTACCGAATTATTATCCTTGGAATTTTGAGGAGATATGAATTGAGATGGGTCAAACATTTCAATATGTTATTACTCATTTGCTGTTATTTTTTACTACTTACTTTATTTAGAGTTATCAAAAACTATTTATAGACAGCTGTAAGAGGGGAGGGGTTTGGGGGCTGAGTGAGAAGGATGAAGGGATTACGAAAATAAATTTAAAAAAGGAAAGACTCATGGACACAGAAAACAGTATGGTGATTGCCAGAAAGAGGGTAGGTGGGTATAAAAAGTTAAAGGCGAGGATAAATTATAATGGAGGGAGATTTTACTCGGGTTGGTAAATCCATAATACAATATACAGATGGTGTATTGTAGAATTGTCTATCTGAAACCTATATAATGTTATTAACCAATGTCACCCCATGAATTCAATTTAATAAAAATAAAAGAAAAGGTAATGAACCACAATTCTGTAATTATGTTAAAAATCAGTGAATTGTACACTTTAAACAAAAATACTTTATGGTATGTAAAAAAACTATTTATAGGTAATGTTATATGAAACTAACAGTCTAGATAGTGTGGTAATAATTATTGTAAAGACAAAATACTTCTTAATTATTTTAAATAAGGACAATTTTCTAAACATTAATTATTAATGCATACTGTTAACAGTTGCCTACTAACACACAAAAAAATGTATTTTTGCTTACTCTAACCACTTCTACCTAACATTGTTGAATTATATACCTCTGTGTGAAATCCATAGCTACACCACTTCTAGAAAAAAGAAAAAAAAACCACTGGAGAATATATTCATAATCATAAAGAAGTAAAGACTTCATAAAGAAAAAGATAAACCATTAAGAATATTTTTAAAAGATAAATAATTTTAACTCTTGAAAAAGTGAAATATCTTAACCTCTCATGAAGAGTTACCACTAAGAAAATAAACAGCCAAGTCACAGTGGGAGAACATAGTCCCAAACATACATCTAGGCAAGGACTTGTCTACTCCCAATACTAAAATAGAAAACAACATGAACACAATAACAATAGAAAACAAAATGTGACCTGATACTAAAGAAAGAAAGATGTTTGAATAACCAATAAGTATATATGATTGTCTTCTCAATATCATTAGTCATCAGGAAGAACAAAGTAAAATCACATTTACCTTCATAACTAAAATAAAAATATTGATGACACCTATTGCTGGAGATTAGTCAGAGTAAGGGTGGCAAACTATAATTGATGGCCAAATCTGCCTGCTGCCTTGTTATTTTTATAAATAAAGTGTATGAGAACACAACCATACTCATTCATTTATGTATTTTTTTGTGGATGCTTTCATACTCCAATAGCATAATTTAGTAATTACAACAGAGACTGTATAGCCCACAGTGATTAAGATATTATCTAGCTAGTCCTTTATAGAAAGTTTGCTGACCCCTGATGCATTATTATCATAACTCTCATAATAATCTCATTGTTGATGGGAGAGTAAAATAGTACACTTTGAAATATATTTCATAATTTCTCAAAAAACTATATCCTAAAACTGAAATATGTAACAATCTCAAACACCTAACCATGGCTAGTGTAGCCTAGTGTTTAGAGTGTTGACCTGAAGGGTTGAGGGGTTGTTTCCTGGTCAAGGAGACTCATACCACAGGTTCAACCACATGGCGGGGATATGTGTGGGAGGCAACCAAAGGATGCGTCTGTTTCTTTTTTCTGTCCCACCTTCTCTCCCTCTTACTCTTTCAAAAAAAAAAAAATCAATGGAAAAAATATCCTCAGTTGAGGATTAACAAAACAAAAACCCTAGTGCTCTGTAAAAGAGAATAGACATAAATTAGAATGCATATTTCATATATTCTAGCAAAAGCAAATTCAGATACTCTGACAGAATTCACATCAATGGATGTTTTGAGCTGGTGAGGGATTTCCTTGCAAAGGGCACAAGGTAATGCTCTGGAAATGTTCTCTGTCTTATTAATGAGGGAGGTTACATAAATTGTATACTTAAAATTGGATCCTTTCAGTTCATGTCTTTATATCTAAAAAAAAAAAAAAATACTCAGATGACTATTCTAGCCAGATTGGGAATAATGCTTTCTAATGGGATGTCTGAATGCCTACTTTAAAATCTATTCCTAAAAGAGGGAGAAAAATTTAGATGGACAAATAATAATCTGCACCACAATAATAAGTGATTTCTGTCAAAGAGAGTCATAGGCTGATATGGAAGAGGAACACCTGGGAAATTCAAGTTATTGGTAATTACCCAATTATTGGGATAAGTGATGGGTTTATGGGAGTTTGCTAGAAAGTACATTAAAGAGATTATAATAATAATTTATGAAACAGCTAAAACCAGTATAAATTAAACAAAGATTAATAGATTACATAAAATAAATATGACCATAGCATATTAAAATTCTTAAACTCCCAAATTTTAAAATAAGTGAAAATGTAACAATATGCTATTTCTTAAATTATGTATTTTCAACACTTGAGATTGCTAATGCCCACTAAAAAAAACAACAACAACAAAAAAAAACTCCATGAAGCGATAGGGATAAGCTGACACTTTTCATGATGAAATAGCTCTGCATTCACCAGGGACCACCCCCCACTCCCAAGAATGGGACTGAACTTGTGGGTTTATGTGAAATTATAAATAACTCCTATTACTCTGGGGTTACACTTCTCATGATCACTTCTAAACCTCTGGTTCACTCTCATCACAATTTAGCATCTGGTTTTGGCTGTTACTGTGAGCAATTAAAGCAGAGGTCTGTGACCACACTTGGGAGGAAGCAGTAAAAAGGGTAACTAGCTTCCTAGTGGGAGATGCATTTCCAGGGCCCTTGTGAGGCAGTTGCATTGAAAAGAGCAGAGGTCCATGGAAAAGTGGACCCCATGGAAAAAACTCAAGATCCCCTATCTAGGACCAGTCTGTGAAAGATGAGAGCATCCTCCTGTTAATCCAATATATACTTAGGAGGCATTGTGGGAACAAATAAGTCAATAACAAGACAAAACTCACTGTAGTAAAGCAGGATGAAAAATGGAATGCTTTTATTTGCTATGCTAACATAAACATTGCCTTGTAGTACAATTATTGAAGGCATGATTCATTTTATAAGGTTCATTTTAAAATTATAATTTAAATGCAAAAATATATAAGTGCAGCAACTGAAGCACAAACAAAATAAGTGAAAATCTTTTTGAATTAACTTCCTGTTTTATGAGGAGAAATGGCAAAAAAAAAAGTATGCATCAAATGCCATGAAATGGGAAACAATTTTCAATGAATACGGAATGACATTATATTTTGCATCAAGGCCAATTTGTTTGTTTCACCACTGTCATGGGTTTGTGAACTCAGGCATCAAAAATAAAGTGTCTTGCATTTGTCCTAGATGAGGGACAAGAGCCTGCGAACCCCAGGGTGGTTGTCTGGAATCACTTAGGTCACAGAACTGTGAAATCAGTGGGGTGTCATGTCCGGAGTACGTGTTGTGACCAGCTACACTTGACTGGTTTCCTTGCTTGAGCTTTTCTGACAAATCAAAAGCTTGGATTGAATCTACCGGCAGCTGTAGTCAGCTTTCTGAAAATACCTTGAAGGCATTCCCCTCCATACCCCACAAGAAAACTTCTATGAAAACTGACCTTTGTTTGCTGACTCATTCATCAAATATTTATTGAGCATCTATTTGGGAGTAATATATCGTAAAATAGTTCAAATTTGTTGCTTTTTAAAAATACATATTTGTATTGCTTTCATAGAGGTAGAGAGAGGATGAGAGAGATAGAAACATCAATGATGAGAGAGAATTACTGATCAGCTGCCACCTGCATACCCTGCACTGGGGACCAAGCCCTAAACCCTATGCTTGTACTCTGACCAGAAATCAAATTGTGACCTCTGGTTCATAGGTCAATGCTCAACCACTGAGCCATTCCAGCACTGCTAATTGTTGCTTTCTTTAAAAATAACTGTTGAGAAGCTGCACAGACAGTAAGCTGATTTTACTAGAATATGAATGGTGAATAAATGACTGGCAGGCTTCAATTCCTTGTACTCACACCCAGGGCAAAAACCTCGAATATAGCAAACACTCTCTTCTTTCCTGATGTGCTGCTATAGCCTGTCACTTACTAGCCATCTAGCCAAGTTGGCATGAGGGAAGAAGAGAAAAACTTCCATCTCCTCATAGTAATTATTTTGTGTGTGTGTGTGTGTGTGTGTGTGTGTGTGTGTGTGTGTGTGTGTGTGTGTTTTAAGCATAAATGGAAAGAATGTCAGAGATAGTGATTCCAATTTTTTTTAATAGAGGTTTGGAGATGTTCTGGAAACCAGAAAACAAAACTAGCTCAACAAATCCCCTGACTTTGGGAACTACCTTTTGGGCTGTTTCAGCAGGCACAGTAGTCGATTACAGTTAAGACACCTACCACTTTTTTAAGCCAAACAATAGGAAGGTGGTATCCGTGTATATAAATGCCCATGTGTCCATCCACGTGCCACTTCCAGAGAGAGATCTTTTCTGATCACCTTACACAAAACAGCACTCTCCACCCAGCCCCCCTGCTTTATTTTTCTTCATAGTGATTCTCCCTACTATGCATTCATTCCCTTATTGTATCGCCTGAGTTTTCCTCTACAATGTGAGGGAAGATTTTTTTTTAAATATTTTTCACCATTATATCCCCAGACCACTAGAGTCATACCTGGCAATGATTCGAGGCTCAATAAACATTTCTTACCTAAAACATATTGTGAGCTGTATGACATGTCCCCATTTTGTTGATAATGAAGCACATTCAAAACTTGACTTCCTTAAGGTACACACGTAATACAATCATTTACCTTTGCTTCTTCTATCTTGGCACCTCCAAAGCTTAGTGTTGTTTTGTACTTACTTGTTGGTTGCTTTTACTCCTGCAAATAGTATTGGTAGGAACCTCAGCCGGGGAAAGTTCAACAAAACTTGAGATTTGAAAATGCTGTCAAATATAAGCAGAAACAGGAAAAAGTTCAGTGGTGTTGCCTTGAAAAGAAGACTGCCATTTTTATGGTCAGCCAGAATATGAATGACATAGGTAAACAACCTATGAGTTGTCCTTGTTCATTTACTTTATAAGAAAGCTTATTAGCTCAGGATTGTTCTAAAACAGAATTTTGGATGCTTTATCTAATGGCAATCTGCTGAGCGCAAGTCACACAATAATACCAAACCATGTGAGTTTATGGTTTAATTACACAGCACCTGCCATCCGTGCAACCCTTTTCATTGCCGCTGTAATTCATTTCCTTTTAAGAGAGATAAGTAAAAATAGATAAGCCTTCTAATTTTCCACTACCCTCTCCTGGCTCTCCAATTTTTTCACCTTTTTTTTTTCCTCCTTTATGATAACTATGGGTGTTATTTAAAAGGAAGTTCTCAGGTGTTAATATTAGGTCAGCTGCTTTCTGTGCAAATGAAAGGTTGGTGGAGAAATGCCAGGAGGTATATTTAGTATCTATGTAGAATGAAAAAATATTCTTATAGATAAGCAGTATGTGTGAGAATGCTATTTTTCTTGCCAGTCGACTAGTATGTATTTTAAAATGTGTGGACATGGGCTGACTTTTAAATTTCTGGTACCATCATAACTTTCAAGGATTCTGTTAGAAGCAGGTAGTTAATGAAAGTTTTCTTAGAGGATATTTCAAAGCAGTGGCCTTCAGACAAGCTGATGCAGCACAGAAAGAGAGTTCACATGTGTGATAGAAATGGATATGGATTTGAGTTAGGAAAAGGCCAATAGTTAAAGAAAGCAGAAAATGAAGTATGTCACAGGGCTGCAAGTGGTGTCTCTACAGGGAAAAAGCTGAGGGACTCAAAAAAGCAAGGATGGCTAAAATTAATTTTTTGCTACTAGTATATGTCTTCTATTGACTAAATTTTTGATATTACCTTCTACCTAGTTCACAAATTTGGAATGAAAAAGAGACATGTTTAAGAAGCAAATTCAAACTATCAAGACTGTACTAAACAAGAGAAATTAGAGGAAAATATATACCCCTCCAAAATTTCCCATCTATTATAAACTTTGTTACAGTTCTACAATATGTAAGCAAAAAAGCCTTACATATAATAGTATCAAAAAATCAAAAAGTAGGTGAGCCAAACAGTCTGGAGGAATTGGGGACATCGGATAAGTGAGTTCTGATAAACACTCAGGATAGAATCTTCTCCTTAAATGGGTTTCTCTCTGTCCTGTCATACTCATTCTGAATTATTGGATTTCTGAATCTGTGCACAATTTGTGCAGCTGGATTCTTTGATGAGTAGTTTGCATTTAACCTAGCAGACAACACAGCACCTCTGATGACCTTTGAGATGAAAGGATTCACATATGATAGACCTGCATTCAGGTTTCCAGACTTTTTAAGGTAAAGCAGAAAATGTCTTTCTAAATATTTGGATTTTAGAAAACCATGTAAATTAATAAGTGAGACATTTGAGAGATTGATTGTCCCTCCCCCTTCCCCCCACACACATTTTGTACTGGAATAGAAAGACATACCACTATACTTTTCACATGATAAAAACACCATTCTCTATTGAATGGGATAATAGAATCACAGAGAGCCAACCACTCCTTTAGTTTGGAGAATATATATTTTCCTGGACTGTTTGCCCCATGCCAGGGAATTTCTGGTGTAGTTAGGGCAGTGGTGGGGAGAAATGGGAAAGTTCTCCCAATATTGGGACTGAAGGTGGCTGATTTCATCTTTCTGTGATGACGCTCTGTAAAGGGACAGAGACCGAGAAACAGAGAAAGAGAGACCAAGAATAAAAAAGGAAGAAAAGGAAAAACATTAAAAAATGTTAAAAATATTTTTATTGATTTCAGAGAAGAAGGGAAGGGAGAGAGAGAGATAGAAACATCAATGATGGGAGATCATCATTGATGAGCTGTCTCCTGTACAACCTGCCTACACTGGGGACCGAGCCCTCAACCGGGGCACGTGCCCTGATCAGGAATCGAACCACAGCCTAGTGGTACACAGGTCGATGCTCAACCACTGAGCCAGGCCAGGGGGCAGGATAAACATTTTAAAATAAATTTCTACTTTGAGGGAATTATTGTTTGAGAAAATTAATGAGATGTTTACTAATGCCCTTCTTTAAAAACTCTATTAATATGCACTGATGTCGACAGGCTTGAATACTATTTCTCAATATCTGGATTTTAAAAGACAACAAAATTTTCCCCCTGTGAACCCAGTAATTGATTCACACATGACCTGCCATTAACTTCAGTCCTCTTTCCAGATCAGAGTTTTAAGGTAGCGGAAAATTGCCTACAGTGAACCTTGATTAACTGGTTTCTTAGCATAACAGGGATTAAATCATATTGGAAACCATCTTGTTTCTTGTGACTGGCAACCTGCTACTGAGAAGTCTCTTCTTTTTAATAACAAACATTGTCCTCTGTGGACTGTAGTTCAACTGCTCAAGCTATAAAATACCACTTCCAACCCGTAGTCCCACAGCCCAGGCGTTTGCCTTTGGTTTTCATTCCCCATGACAATGACGGCTTCTCTGTTTGGGTAGCCCTGATAGTGCAAACCACCACCCAACTTCAGCTTCTTTCTCAAAAACTATTTTTGATGAAAGGCATCTAAGATTTCTTATGTTCATGATGAAATTTTTTTTAAAATATATTTTTATTGACTTCAGAGAGGAAGTGAGAGAGCAAGATAGAAACATCAATGGTGAGAGAGAATCATTGATCGGCTGCCTCCTGCATGCCCCACAACCCAGGCATATGCCCTGACTAGGAATTGAGCCATGACTTCCTGGTTCATAGTTCAAAGCTCAACCACTGAGCAATAATAGCCAGGCAATGATGAAATTTTGTCAGATATATATTCTTATCTATATCTACAGGGGAAAATACAACCAACTAGAACATTAATAGACACGTGTGGTCCTTCCATTTGGAAATAAAAAAGTTGGATGCATATTTCTCAGTTTAACTCACTGACTTTTTCAAAATGATGTGTACCATTATTCTCTAAACACATAACCACACACACACACACACACACACACACACACACACACACACACACCACATACATACAAAAAATACATGTATATTTTTTAAAGTACTCCATAGGATTACTAATACTCCAAAAAACATATGTATCTACATAGGTTACATTTACGTCATGCTATTGCAAGCATATTCTAACAATTTGATTCGATATCAAAACAGCCATTTCCAGGGTAATATAGTAATAGATAAAGATGGAAACATAATTTTACTTATAGAAATTATATGAGTCTGGGAGTGATAGGGAGATAATACAATTTCTCCTGCCATAGGAGTTCCCAGGGACAGCCATAAGATGACAAGGTGACTTTAAATGTAATTTAATACCACCAACATTTTTGAAAATGAACACTATTCCCAATGTTGGGGGTTTCTTTCTGAGAAAGACTGAGAAACTCATACAAGAGTCAGATCTGGTGGAAATTTGAAGGAAAAAAAGAGGGAAGGTATACTAAACCGCTCTACAGAAACATCTAAACCTATTACTTGGGAACAATAGCTCTAAATCATGAAGTAGCAGCGCCTTTTGATAACAGTGGGAGTATGGAACAGGGCAGTAATTTTAACTTAAAATGCCAGCAGTATATAATGCGAATGCCAACTACTGCAGCAGTGCTCATGGAAACCTTTCACTTCAAATTTATAGCACCACCCGCTGCAAAATATGTGAGCATAACTTCATAAGATGCTGTTTTCACTTGCTCACACCACCCTCACTTCTTAACCCTTTTCTTCCCCTTTCTGACTCTTCTCTTCTTGACACATGGTCATTCTTTCTCTCACATGGTTAAGTGAAACATAATTTTATTATAGATTGTATAAAATGTTTCTTAAGTTTTATAATTTTATTTGATTATATTAAGAAAACTTTCAGCCGAAACCGGTTTGGCTCAGTGGATAGAGCGTCGGCCTGTGGACTGAAAGGTCCCAGGTTCGATTCCGGTCAAGGGCATGTACCTGGGTTGCGGGCACATCCCCAGTAGGAGGTGTGCAGGAGGCAGCTGATCGATGTCTCTCTCTCATCGATGTGTCTAACTTCCTATCTCTCTCCCTTCCTCTCTGTAAAAAATCAATAAAATATATTAAAAAAAAAAAAAGAAAACTTTCAGGATTGTTTTCAAATTTGGAAATATTTATATTACGTTTATTTCATATATGACTTATAAATTATCCCAAAAGGAAGTCTGGTTATGTGTCTCAAACCTTGTCTTTACTATATATATTTTTTTTACAGATGTAAAAATTTTATTTTTGGTAAATAGTAATTAAGTCCCAATTCAAAAAAATAATTTCCTAAGTAGAAATCAAAGCAAGACACTCAACGCATCAGAAAAATTCAGACAATTCTCTAAGAGAATTCAGGACTTAAACCAACATAAAAATAGTCAACTTAGTTATACGTATCTGGATAGGTACCTAGTCTGAGTAAGGTCTCTTTAGATCATTAGGGTCTTGTTTCTGGTTTTAAGATTAGGTAAACAACACCACGATGATAGTTGTCTCAAAATGAACAGGTAAAATGAATAGGTTACAGAAAATAATTAGAATCTCTACTTATATTTTAATCAAAAGGATCAGAAAAAGCAGTATTTACTGTCACTTAACTATTAATGTTATTTCATACTGCTATCCCCACTCAGTCTATATTCAGATATGTAATTCAGATAATTTCCTATTATTCACTTATTTCCAGTGCTAAGCACTATGGACTATGTTCACTTTACAGCAAGACCTTTGGCCCTACACCCTCACATCGGTTTGCCAAGTGAGTGCAGGTCAAGGGTAAGTCCCAGAGCCATTTCTACACCAACACAACTAAGAAAAATGTATCTATACACAGATATGACTGCAGACCCATTACATATCACTAAATGGGAACTAAAAACATTTTTCAT